AGCGTCCCACCCCTGCCGCTGCACCCACTGTTTCTCTGAGAGGACAGACTTCCTCTCCGCCTCTGGGTTCTTGATCTTGAACGCTGACCAAAGGCACCTCAGCGAGGGCCGCCTGCGCCCACCAGGTGTGTCTGTCTGCACCTGCTCCTGCCTCAGCACCTGCACTAACCCCCCAGAGGTGCTCTCGTAGCTGCACTGGCCTCCGTGGGAACAGGGCATCACCACTCGCCCTCTCACTGTCATCTCACAGGCTCCCACCCTCAGCACCCAGAACACCCAGACACTCTCCAAAGGACGTGAGCACATCAGAGGGGATGTGTGCACATCCTGTGGGGGTGTTAGGCATGCTGGGTGGATGGAAGTGTGGTGGAGAGGCGGGGGGAACTTGTGCACGCCTTGGTTTACAACTGTTGCAGGTGCGGAAGGGTGACAGTGTGCTGGGGGATGTTGGAAGATATATGTAGAGCTAGACAACCCAAAGAGAAGCACCCCTTAAATATGAGCAATTGAACTCTCATTAAACATAATGCTTTTTTGTACATGCTTGTTGGGTCTAGACTACCATTGCTTTGTGTCCTGACAGTAAATTGAAAAGAAGTTGTTTGAAAACATGCTTCCTTAATGGATAGACCCTTCCAAACATTTTTGGAGGAGTAAACAATAAAGTTAGAGAGTTGATTCTGGTTTGCTAAGCAAATTTGTGACTTTCTCATTATATTCTCAAGGATAAAAGGTTGGTACACTATCCACAAATCAAAAAAAAAAAAAGAAAGAAAAGCTAGGAGTATTTTCCTCCTTAAAATGTCATGGAAAAGTTTTTGATCAGGCCCATTCCTAATATTTTTAGGCCTGAAGCAAGAGTAAAAATGGAGCCATGGACTGTATGTCTAAATTTAGAATCATTAAAGCTACCAACCTGTTAAATAAAATTGATCTTACTCCTTTCTGGATAAGATACCTTAATAATGTCCTGCAAGGCCAGATTTGAATTTAAAATTTTGGACTCTTTGGGGTTTAATGCCACATGGCAGTGTGGGGAGCAGGCTAGCTTCCCTTCCGTTTTTAGCCTTATCTTAGGTTCCATTGCTACCTTCCTAAAGAACAACTGCTCTTGGCTACTCCATGGATAAACATAGATTCTCAAATTCTAAAGATAATCTCTTTACATATAGACACGAAACACTTAAAACCACTTCTATATTCTCCCTTATTATTTTTTAGAATTTTTAATATGTTTTTGATTTCAGGGATAGGGAGAGCTATAGAAACATCAATGATGAGAGAGTCATTGATAGGCTGCCTCCTCCCTTATTCTTGAGGTCTTCTCTAGGTCATTGTGGGTTAAAAGGAAGGAGCATGTTTAAGTCCCAGCTTGGAAGCTGTTGTGTTAATTGTTAACTTTTGCTGAGTCTGTACATTGAAAAAGGTAGCAATCTCAGCATGTTAAGATCATAACTGTTAGATGCTTAGAGACAGCAGCAGTGCTGATGTGAGGCATTAATGGCTGGATGGATCCAATCAGATATGCCACCCCCGGTGTCTTTATGTAATGGCATTTACCAGATTTCAAATGGACTGCTGAGAAAGATGAAATATAATCTCATGTATTATCTCTGTCTTGAAAAAATAGATAATGAAATTGTTCTCTTGCTGGCATCTATTTTATTAAACTTTGCAGAGTCAACTAAAGAACAGATGTCCCTATAGAGTTGAAACCTTATGCTAATGTGGAGTGTTATTAAGTGCGTTTGTGAATTCTAGGAACAATGATGTTAAGTAGAGCAGGTAACATTTATATTGTATTTCTTTTAAACCTACTCAGAATAAGATGGCATATTTGGGGGCTAGCTGGATAGAAAAAGAACTATAAATTGTATACAACTAAATTCTTTTTTTCTTTCTTATAGAATCTGGAGAAAGTTCTTGTAGAATTCAATCACAAGGAGTTGTTTGATTTCTATAACAAGGTAAGTATTTTAAAAATAATTTCTAAGAAGTGGGTTTTTCCCTAATGTTTCCTTCATTTTATGAATTCTTATTTTTAAATTCCCTATTATGGAACTAAGTTCTTTAAACTTGACTTGTAAACACCTTATGTTTCACAGTAGGAAGCATTGCTGAGATGAGAATCTGACAAACTAAATCAGGAAGAAATGGAAATGGTTTTAATTACAGCAATAGGAGTATTGCTGTAAACAATATGTAATGACGTGTGTGGTACCTAGCCACACTGGCACATTAGATATAAAGTAATGTTAAATATTTTAATTTCTGTGTACAAAAGAAAAGGAAGATGCCAGGCCTTAAAGATTTATCTTTGAGTATTTTTGATGATTCTTTCCAAATACTGATTTTGTAATCTAGGAAATTCCCCCAGACACACACACCTTTAAAAGTCATACAATGAACATTTAAAGTGAAACAGTTGGGTGTACATAAAACAGTGGTATTTAGAAATCCTCCTTTACAAATTTGAAAATTTAGCAAGCACTAATTCTAATATTGTCACTAAAAAAGAACAAAATTTAAGTGGTGTATTTATTGCTGTGAATGGATTTAATATGCATAATTGCCAATGCCATCCTTTCCCTTCTATTTGCATGTTTCTAAACAGCACTTCCTATGCATTTCTCTTTCTTTACCAGCTCTCTTTTTCTTGTCTTTGTAAATAGCTAGAGACCATCCAGGCACAGCTGGATTCTCTTACCTGATGTTCCTGAAGACCGCTTTCCCCATCACACTCCTGCCACTTCATCATTTTGCTTTGAAGACAGATTGCCAGGTTGTGTTTTCTGAAGGATTCAGTAGTTTTCTTCTTGTAAATTATATGGTTTATCACTTCTTAGACAAATAGTAGCTAAAGGAAATAATTTTCTGAGGATTAAGATTCTAATATACATTCTCTAGTTCCATGAGCCAACAGCAAGCAAGCAATTGTTAAGAATACTCTCGCTTTCAAAAAAACAAAAGTGAACACCATATTGTTTTTACTGCCCTATTTTTGCTTTATTGCCCACATGCATTTTTTACATACTTGATGATACCTATAGGTATCAAGGAGGGTCCATGGATATAAGGTATCCTGCGTACCGTAGAATACAGAACTCAACAATTACATTGATAAAAATAAGAAAGCTGCCCCATGCAATCAATACATTACAGTATTTTTCCTGAATATAATGAGTATACTTTACTTTGGAAATAATATAGGAAAGAAATTAAAAATAGAGCTGGTAGTAGTTATCGAGAGATTCCAGTGTGAGCATTTCTGCACACTTTTACTTTTTCTCTGAGTTTAATGTTTTAATAAGTTCTTTCTACTGCAGATAGTAGAACTAATTATTCATTTAATAATGATTCATTTCATAATGTGGGAGACAGATTCAGATCATGAAGAAAAAGAATTGTAATGAGTGCTGAACGGGTATCCTTAAAATTTCAAAACAGCTTTTACATTCTCTTTCTGTAAATATGTTAATTCATTTCATTCAATAAAATGTTTTTCTCAGAAGTAGTTGAACTGAAGTGCACAATACTTTTTGCTATGAATATATATAAATATGAGTATGGCTGTCTATAAAAAATAGTATCAATTGAATTTATTGTTTTCAGAAAGAGAAGGAGGGACGGGGAGAAAATGAGAGAGAGAGAGAGATTCAAAATGCTTTTTCTTAACATGAAGGAATTTTATTTCAGAAATGTCCTAAACAAACAGAGCCATTAATATGAAATCACATTCTTTGTATGAGGTATCTGAGTAATACAAGTGTTAAATGTCTCCCAAATAAAAATTCAATATATATATAATTTATGCCCTTATTTATATTTGTGCTTCTGTGTTGTCACTTACAAGGATTGGGAGTTTGGATTATTTCAGTATTTCAGAAAATAAATGTTGTAGTTGCTGTCCATAGTTGATTGATTTAAAAAGTTTATAAATTTCCATTGACAGGATATCTGGAAGACATATTTTTAATATAATGAGATTTGTCTTCAAAGGTGTCTTATGGGATAGATCTGTCTTATTTGTTTATACTCTGTTCTGTCAGACCCCAGAGGCAACTTCCTACTATAAACATTTTGACAAATATTTTTTTTAGATTTCTTATGTACAAATAAACATATATCGTCTCAAGTTGAATTTGTTAGGCCTTTCTGACCATATGGATAGGTAGAAGTTTTCATTGGTTTCATAGCCAACTTAACTCCTAATGTAGGTATCTAAATTAAATGTGTCAGTTCAAAATGAATTGTCTAATAGTAGCTCATTTTATGGCCCCTAAAAGAGGTGGTTTTATAGACTCTAAATGTATATCTAAACCTAAACAAACATGTGGTAAATAGTTCAAGAAAGTCTGATCACAGGCATTGAAGGAAGGACAATTAGAAGGTCTAATTCCAACTAAGAACATATATTTTCCTGAAATATATTTAATTGCAGGTCATTTTCTTCCATAAGGCACCACTTTTGTTTCGATACACAAGTCAAAGAAGATATCATTCCCCGAAAGTATTAATTGCATGTTACTTTTTAATAGAAATAAGATGGGTGAGAGGGTAAGTGGGGACTTGAACATACTATCTTAGCAAATAAATATGCCTTGCATGAGTGTTTGACATGAGGATTGAATAAAAGTAGAATTACTTGTTAGAAAGGAACCAATGTACTATTTCTGTACCTATTACAAATAATATACGTAATTATTCAATTATAAAATATGTTTTTTTAATTAGGAAATACCAAAAATTACAAGTAACCTAAATTTATAGAATCACATAATTCAGAAATGGCCAATAGGTTTTATTGAATTTTTTTTTCTATCCATATATCCATATATGTGATATTTATTTCTGTAGCATCACTTTCACTTTAATTTTTTCCAGCCACATGGAAACTGGAAATTATGTTTCCATCCTCTGCAGCTACTGCAGCCATATGACTAGGTCTCACCCATGAAATGTAAGTGGAAATGATACTCATCTTCACTTTTCTGTATCTCCAAATATGAAACATAGATTTGGAGATGAGTGAGCTTTGACTGAGCAAAGATTATTCCTTAAAGGGTAGGGAGCAACAACATGGAGGGGACCTGGGTCCCTGAATGTCCTCATGGAGCAATATTGCTGATATACTCTTAACAAACTGCTATCTCCAGCCTGTTAACATGAGAAATAAAATATCTTGTTCTAGGAAGTACATTTGGAATCTTAATATAGCAGTTTAGCACATAGCCTAACTAATATGGGGTACCATGATTTTAAGTAGCCAATAGTTTAGAGCATTTACATTTTTAAAGAGAGATAAATATTTTATGTCATACAGTTCAAATATATATGAATGTTAAAGAGAAATGGGCAACTTCAGGCTAAATTCACAGCTACTGGGAGGTGTATTCATCCTACTTCCCTAGTGTGGCTACATGAAGGGAAAGTTTGAGAAACCATAGGTTACATTGTAAATTTCTCAAAAAAATAAAATAAAATCTTTACATAATCCCTTTTCCACTGTTGAAGAAGAGGGCCAGGACAATTCTGACTTGTTCAGGCTCATTACTCAGAAGCTGCTCAGGAATTAGAATTTAAGTTTCAGTTGAGTCTATTTTGCTGCCCTGAAACTTTGTCATTATTATGCAAATAGTTCTACTCAATACACCAGCCTCATTTAATGCTAATATTAGAAACACATTTATTTGAGGGATTTTATAGTAAAGTTTAATGGCATATATAAATTTGGAGAATTTCAAGATTTTATCATTGCTTCCTTGCCACTGTGCCACCGCTCCCCCACCTCCCAAATCTTTTAAAATGTCTCTTGCTTTTCTCTGAATTGTAAGGTTGTGCTAGCTGACTGGCAGGCCACGATTCAGATAGAAGTGTTGGCAGTTTTCATACCCTGCTTTATTTGTTTTATTGGAAATGGAAAGTTGTTAGTTTTTGTTTCAAAAGAAATAGTCTGCAAAGACAAGAAAGTTGAAGCGGGGCCAATCTATAAATATGTAAGGAAAAGGTTGCTACAGGATTAGAGAAAATGTTTTAAGTCTTCAGGGCAGGAAAAATAATGAATATATAATAATGTCTCCTTTGTAAAACCAGAGTTCAGTCATTTTTAGCATCTTTTAATGAGAATATGTGAATCTCATTTTATAAAATACTTGTGTTTTTTTTTTAAAAAAATGTTTCTTCAAAGGAATCTAAGTAAGGGAAAGAAGGGAAAAGCAGTTAATAGTAAATGTAATAGTTGCATTTATTTCTGAAACTGCATTTTAAAGAATACAATACATCGTACCTGAATTGTTTAAGGAAAAGCCAATAAGGTTTTTCTCATCTATAATAAATGTAGATGTGCTGTGAGGCATGGAGCTCAGTGATTTCTCGAGGTCTTTTCCCATATCTCCTTGCTTCTGAGATTCCCACATTTCTTTTGTGCTATTTCTAGTCTGTATTTCAGATTCTTCCTACAGGCTCAGCCAGCATACTCATTGACAAAGCAGAAAGCTGTCCCCCAAAACAGGCTGCTCTAACACTTCAGCATTGGAAGCTTCAGCACCCCTTCCTGTCCAGGAGTGTGGTGATGCTTTGGCAGCAGAGCACAGTAATTTTCCAAATGATCAGAGAAAGTAGTGGCTCACACAGCCCAGACCATGTGCTCAGCTTTGGAATCCAGCCTCTCACTCTGCTGCCTGCTGATGCAAGCAGTCCTGTGAACATCAGGGTACCTAAGAAATATTGGCTGAGTGAACTAATAGAGTACATAAATAGTTTTTGCCCTCTTCTTCTCTTATTTGACCAGTACCATCTGAATTCTAGAAAACAGACCACGCCATCATAAACCTCAGATTTACAAGAGTAGTTTTCAAACTGCTTTAGTTAAATACATTGGTAATCCCACTAGGGAGTAGCCGTATCTGGGGAGGATCTCCTGACGTTGTTGATCCTTTCATTCATGGAGCAAGAGATATACAGGAGGAGAATGAAAGCCTGGTAACAAAGTATGTTCTGTATTTTACTTGTCCAGGATGCTAGAGCAAGTTCTCACTTCTGTGAGATTTATCATCGTCATGAAGTTGACCTGGGCATGCTCTGGTGCTAATGCTGCAAAGACTGCAAAACAGCTGCGTTCCTACCAAATTCAGAGGTGACTTATGTGATGAGGTCAAATGAAGTGTTCCCGAAAGACATCTCAATATGCCGTTATATTATGATTATGTTAAATATGTATAGATTTTATGAGCTCATTTCCTGTAGAAAGCAGTATGTCTTGACTAAAAGCACACAAATATATACACTGACTACAAAGAGGCTTTCCTCACTGACATGGGGCAATTAAATGACAAAGTTTTAGAAAGAAGTCTCCCCTTACAAGATGGTTCCAAGTTATCAAAACCATATAGGCTGGAGAAGTATCTGAACAAGCTCACACAGATATAATGCAGAATGTGAGCAAAATGCAGAGAGCCAGGCAGAAAGCTGTTCAGTGTCATTTTACTTAAAATTTTCCCTATGCAACCAAGTCCATGCCTTTAAATCAGGCGTGGGAGCCCTTTTTCTGCCAACGGCCATTTTGGATGTTTATAACGTCCTTCTCGGGCCATACAAAATTATCAACTTAAAAATTGGCCTGCTATATTTGGTCAAACATTTAATTAACTCACCCCTAATGCTAGGGCCAGACCAAATGATTTCTTGGGCTTATACGGCCCTCAGGCCAGACGTTCCTCACCCCTGTAGTATAGAGCCCAATACGAGGGATCAGTTTCTTCTTGAAAGAATGACTGTAACACCTTTGTACCTTGTAGCAGAAAGGCCCTCTTTGTCAGAGTTTTGGTGTTTCATATTGAAACGTATGTTCTGTACTTTACTTGTGTGATCTTAATTGACTGGAGTAGAAATAAAAAATCAGCAAGTTTGGGTACATCAGCTTTCTGGGCTTGCAAGTTCCCCAGAGCATGCCTGAGGGACTCTGGGAGTGGCCATCTTTGCCGTTAGCCTCC